AGAGAGACAGAAAGCGAGAAATCACCTCCTGGGGGGGATGGCCACGCCGCAATCCCTTCTCCTCCATTCTCCTCTCGGGATCTTGGGCACACATGCACATATGCCCAGTGTGAGTTCAAGCCACCGGGTCCGGGACACGAACCGCGGTCAACTACATGGGAGCCCAGCAAGATAGCCATTACTCTAACTGCTGGTCCCTACATTTCCTCTTGAGCTTTTCACTCAAGCATTGTTTTCCCTGTTTCTTTATTTCTCCAGAGGCTCTTCGGGACACCTTCGCTTCCCTGGGTTACAAGGTCCAGTACTTCTTGTATCTTAAGGTGAAGGAAATAATCCATACTCTTCACCATGTGGCCTGTATGCCCCAGCACCAAGACTACGACAGCTTCGTGTGTATCCTGGTGAGCCGAGGAGGCTCCCAGAGTGTGTTTGGTGTGGATCAGACTCACTCAGGAATCCCGTTGCAGCAGATCAAGAGGATGTTCATGGGAGATTTGTGCCCTTTTCTCATAGGGAAGCCAAAGCTCTTTTTCATTCAGAACTACGTGATGTCAGAGGGCCAGCGGGAGGACAGCAGCCTCCTGGAGGTGGATGGGCCTGCAGTCAATAATGTGGAGTCTAGGGCCCAGCAGCCCAAGCCCTACACAGTTCACCGCGAGGCTGACTTCTTCTGGAGCCTGTGCATGGCGGACGTGTCCCTGCTGGAGCGGTCCCCCAACTCAGCATCCGTGTACCTGCAGTACCTCTCCCAGAAACTGTGGCAAGAAAGGTGAGCCACTGAGGAGGTGACTGATCAGGGACCAGTTGTTTATTTTCTTTCTACCTAGATAGGATTGCTGCTGTGCCATGTTCCCTCCCCTGCTCCAAAGAGAGGAAAAGGAATTTTTTCCCCTTCCACTTTGAGGTTGCCTTAAGAGAATAATATGGTCTGAATACTTTGTGTTTGTCATCTTGTGGTCTGGATGTTTTCCTTCAAAATTAAGAAATTTTAAATATTTCTTCTTATTGCAAAAGCAATACATACTCCTTATAGAAATAATAAAATACAGATGCTAAAAGCAGAAAGTAAGAAACAATTTTTTTAAGAATTATTTTATTTAACTTTATATATTTACTTTAATTTGACCAGAGAGGGACAGAGAAAGAGAAAGAGGGAGGAAGCTGCCAGGTCCGGGACTCAAACCTCAGTCAGCCATGTGGGAGTCCAGCATCCTTAACCACCATGCCACCTGCTGGTCCCCCTGTAACAAGCAGTTATAATCTTACTTGTAAGAATCAGTTTCATTAACTAAATCTTGAAGTATTACCTTCCAGGATTTATTTTATTTTATTTTTAAAGATCCACACAATCATATAAATACGGTTTTTAAGCTAAAATGTAATCATCATCTACTATTACATTTTGAATGAGCTTAATAGTAGATCACAGTTTTTTGCCTGTCAATAGCCACATTTCAAAATAGAGACAGAGAGAGAGTCAGTGAGTAATCACTCCCCAGGAGAGAATGGCCACATCGCAATCATGTCTCCTCTATTCTCCTGTCAGAATTTGGGGCACACATGCCTGGAATGACTTCCAAGCCGCTGGACACAGTACTCAAACTGTGGTCTCCCATAGAGGAGTCCGGCACCTTAACCAACGTGTCACCTACTGGCCTAACGATTTCTACAGTATCGTTTTCAGATCTGCGCAGCAGCCCATAGTATGGTTATAGCTCAGTTTACTTGACCAGTCTTTAGATGTTGAATAGTATTTTGCTTTCACACAAAATATTAAACATCTGTGCAGCTCAGTATTTTATCTTTAGTTAAAAATGTTCACTTTTTAATGCTGAAAAACCATGCACTTGCCAGAGAGACTGGAGTGGTAGGATGGGGAAAAAACACCCTCCAGTAGGGGTATATCCATGCCATAGTCCCTTCTCCTCCGTTTCTCCATCCTGTTAGTGATTTTCAGCACATATTCACACACACCCAGTGTGCTTTTTCAAGCACACTTTTTCAAGACCGGGTGCTTTTTCAAGCTGCCGAATCTGGGATTCGAACCATAGTCTACTATGTAGATCGAGACCCTAGGCTATAGGGCTGGCCCTGTAGCTCAGTATTGTGCTTGTCTTTGTTTTCTTGAGGGAAATCTCTGGAAGTAGAATGACTGTATCAGAGGACATGCATTTTTCAAGTCTCACTGCGTCTTACCACATTGTCTCGGGGGCAGTTATACTGGCCTCCAATGAGAGTTGCTTTGTTCCTAAATTCTCACCAACACGGCATGCTCTTTTATTTCTGAAGTTCCAGAAATTTTTTTTCCCTTCCTTTTTATTGATTTTTTTCACACAGCAATCCCTGTCCAGTTCTGCAACCCATCAGATTCGGGTACTTACACGCATGTCTTGTGTGTTTCAGGCCAACCAGGCTGGGGATTCAAACTGTGGTCATCATGTGGCCTTTGGCTTCTTCTGAGCCGTGCATGACTGCTATACCACAGAGCCAGCCCTGTCTTGGCAATTTGATAGGTAAAAAACGGCATCTGGGAGGCCAGCAGCTAGCGTAATGGCTATGTCGCTGGACTCCCACGTAGTTGACCGCGGTTCGAGTCCCAGACCCGGTGGCTTAAACTCACGCTGGGCGCGTGTGTGTGCGTGCCCAAGATCCTGAGAGGAGAATGGAGGAGAAGGGATTGCAGCGTGACCATCCCCCCTGGGGGGTGATTTCTCGCTTTCTGTCTCTATGTCTCTCTCTGTCTGGTGAGTGCACATGCCCTGTAGCGAAAACCTCTCCAAAAAAAAAAAAAAAAAAAACCGACATCTGGCTATCTGGGTCTGTAAGTTGTTATATGAATATCTTTGATATTTGTTGGCAAGAATACCTTCCTAGGTATTCCTAGGGGACACATGTGTCCTGGTATGCATTTCAGCTGAATGAAGCCACAATGTACCTCAGGTATAAGGTTAATTGGTCTTTCTCAGTTGTCCCTTAATTACAATGTAAAATGCTTCTTTTTTTGGTATGTACATTTTTTAAATTATTATTATTATTTTTTATACATTCAGTCACATTATTTAACTTACAATGCTTCTGAACCTCCTGTCAAATGCTATCTGAGTTGTAGCTCTGGGAACCTCAGGAATAAGTCTTGTAGCCTTTTCACCCCAGCCCCCTCAGTGGCAGCTCCGCAGGAACGGGAAGAAAAAAAAACAGCAGGAAGGGGAAGGCTTGTAGCAGGAGCAACTACATACCCAAGGGCCAGCAGTATTCCTGTCACAACCATCCCACCCTGTGTAGTGGAGCCAGGTAGGTTGTCATGCAGATGGTGTGTTCCCAGAGTGGAGCTCAGGTGCCCTTGGGGAAGGGACTGTGGCTGTTGGACCAGATTGCCGCGAGCTGGTTTGGATCATTCACTAAGCAGATTGTGGAGCATCTAGAAACTTCTGTTGGCTCATTCATTCTAATGATAGTCTCCTCTTTGACATTTGTGTGACATACACTTTGTCTTTCTCATTTCCTCCAGAAAGCGCCCACTCCTAGATTTCCACCTTGATCTCAACAGCAACGTGTATGGTTGGAACAGTGGAGTTTCTGCTGAGGACAAGTACTATGTCTCACTGCAGCACACTCTGAGAAAGAAACTCATCCTCTCTTGCACATGAAAACCAAAACTCCTATTTTTTCTGAGAATGCTGTCTAAAAGAGGCATGCACTCTCCAGACAGAGAGAGAGTGAAAGTGAGGGAAAATGAAAAACCATGCCTCAGGGGGATGGGACAAATCCTCCTCCATTCTCCACTCGGCATTTTGGGCACTCGCCTGCTCTCATGTGCACAAATGAGCGTGAGAAAGAGTGAAAGAGAGAAGAGCACCCTCTACAGGGTGAAACCAGGCATGTCAGTCAGCCTGAAACAGGCCATCCTGGATGCAAAGGACTCCCATCAGGCAGAGACCACCTTCCAGGTCAAGGACAATAAGCCTCTGGTTGAACCGAACCATTTGAGACATTCTGCCTGGACGCTTCCCTGGTCACCAAGCAAGCCAGCCTCTTGCACTTCCCACCAGGCTTCCAGCCCATCCCTTGCAAGCCCTTGTTCTTTGACATGGCCCTCAACCACGTGGCGTTCCTCCAACTTGGGGATAAACTGGAGCAGAAGACCAAGAGTGGCCTCACCGGATACATCAAGGGCATCTTCAGATTCAGGAGCTAACCAGGCCCTTCCTTGGGGGAAGGGGGAGATTCTGACTCTTAATCTGTATTGTGAGAAAATCCTGGCAAGTTCGTGATGACGAAGAAAAAAGAAAATGTATATAATTTTATTTATTTAGTATTTATTTATTTATTTATTTATGTACATATGTGATATAAAATCAACTTTTCTTTTTATTCCTTTGATGTAGCTTATCCATGAGCGCTTTATACTTTCTTTACTTATTCTGTAATTATATGTTTAAAATGAGCCTTTTAAATCTCATTTTGTATGCTGTAATCATGTACAGTGAATGAATGTAAATAAAAAATTTAAACATAAAAAAATAAAATGAGTATTTTATAATGAATTAGTCATTCCTGATACTTTATATATGTTTTATTTATCTTTGTGTAATAAAAGTAATTGCTTATTTTGAAAAAAAATGAAGAAAATGGACAATTAAATAAAATTCAGCTGACCACATGGGGGCCAGACCAGCAGTTAAACATGGCACCCTATGAAGCTGAATCACCAGTTCATCTCCAGAGGCCTCTCTGAGTATGCCAGGCACAGGTGCCAGCCTGGCTGCAGCTGAGAGTGGACTGCAGCATTGGAATCTTGTATCTCTCTGTCTGTGTCTCTTTTTGCTTATGCTCATGGAAGATAAATATAAATAAAAGATAGGACCAGCATTTGGCGTAATGGCTATGTCTCTGGACTCCCATGTAGTCCACCAAGGTTTGAGTCACAGACCCGGTGGCTTAAACTCATGCTGGATACGTGTGCATGTGTGCCCAAGATCCTGAGAGGAGAATGGAGGAGAAGGGATTGCGGCGTGGCCATCCCCCCGGGGGATGATTTCTCATTTTCTGTTTCTCTGTCTCTCTGTCCCTCTTTATCTTTCTGGAGAGTGCATGCGCCCTATAGCAAAAACCTCTCCAAAAAAAAAAGAAAAGAAATTACTGATAATAAATATACGGGTTTATTTCTGGACTCTTAATTCCATTCTGTTTCCTCACTATATCACTTTATGTCTTTACCACACCAACTTGATTACAGTAACTAAAGTAAATTTTGAAACCAAGAAGTGTGAGTCCTCCAACTTTGTTCTTTTTTCAAAATTATTTTGGCTCTACTGGGTTTACATTTCCTTACATTTCTATTAGAAAATAGTGGTTTGAGTCCTGGACCCGGTGGCTTAAACTCATGCCGGGCATGTGCGCATGTGTGCCCAAGATCCTGAAAGAAGAGTGGAGGAGAAGGGATTGTGGTGTGGCCATCCCCCTGGGGAGTGATTTCTTGCTTTCTGTCTCTCTGTCTCTCTCTCTTTCTGGCGAGTGCACGTGCCCTATAACAAAAAACTCTCAAAAAAAAAAAAAAATTTACATGGCCAGGGCCAATAGGTGGCATGGTGGTTAAGATGCTAGATTCCTACTTGGCTGACTGCAGGTCAAGGCTTGGACCTGGTGACTTTGCTTTCTCAGTTTCTCTTTTTCTCTGTGTCTCTGGTGCTAGACATGCCTTACAGAAAAATTTAAAAATAATAATCGTGAGTAAAATAAATAAAATAATTCCTTAAAAATTTTGTGTGGCCTGGGTAACATGAATAATGAGGCCTTCGACATACTCCATGAACTCCGGAGTTTTGTGATTTCTTGAAAGACTGATCAGGTTAACTGTCCCGTGAATGGTTATATATTATTTAAACATAATTTGCCTGTTTTATTTTCTTATTGCCATGTTTCCAGAATTCACGATGTAAAGAACAATGGAGAGCCCATTGGTAGCTTCTATAAGGTCAATATTTTGGCGCTGCACCTTCTCCTTTTTCCTTTAAAACCCTTCGCATAGCAACAGTGAGGTGGGCAGCCTGAATATTGTGACGCCTGAGTTGCAGTCCTCACCCTGGCCCCAAATAAACTCTCATTTTTAAAATACTTTGCCTTAGTTTTTTTCCTCTTAGATCAACACCATATAACTTTTAGGATCAGCTTGATAATTAGTGGAAAAAGGCTCCTGAGCTTTTGATAGCGTTACACTGAATACCTAAGATCAGTTTTGGGGTGTGTTGCCATCTTAACTGAGTTTCTTTTGCATACATTAATATTAGTGACTTTTTTCTCTGATGTCTCATTGTAGATTTTCTTTTTTTTTTTCTTTTTTTTTTTTTTTTTTTACCAGATAGTGCAAGTGCTCACCAGAGAGAGAGAGAGAGAAAGCACCCCCAGGGAGGATGGTCATGCTACAATTCCGTCTCCTCCACCTCTCCCTCCTTTAAGGATTTGGGGCACTCACACATAAGTGCTTGGCATGTTTCTCAAGCCACTGGGTCCAGGACTCGAACTGAAGGGCTGGCTATGTGGGGTCAGTCTGCCTAAACCATCCAACCAAGGAACCAACCTGCCTCATTGTAAAGTTTTACCATTATGGCTGTCATATGTTGCCCTTTTCTTTTTTTTAAATAATTTTTTATTTATTAATTTTAATTATTACTTATACATTTAATCACTATACATCATTTAGATTTTAAAGAGACTTTACCTAGTGACTGAGACTTTACACCTCAGTCCAGCCCAGTTGAGAACATACGCACATCCTCATCAACAAATAGTTGCCCTTTTCAAAAATTATTAAATATTAAGGCAGCCTTTTTCCTTTATTATTATTTTTTTTGCTCCAGAAACAACAAATAAACCTCTAAATAAAAGGCCTATCTTTAGCTCTCTTTTTTAGCAGTATTAAAAATACTTTACTCAAATTTAACCAAATGACCTAATTCCTGAGACCAGAGATCCCTTACCCTCATTACCAGTCTGTGGCCAGTTAGGAACAAGGCTGCACGGCAGGAGGGGAGCAGCAGGAGAGCCAGCAAAGCTTCCTCTCCATTTACAGCCACTCCCCTGCCCTAGCATTACTGCTCCAGTTCCACCTCCTGTCAGGTCAGCAGCTGCATTAGATTCTCTAGATGTGCAAACCTTACTGTGAACTGGGCATGCGAGGGATCTAGGCCGCATGCTCCTTATGAGAACCTAATGCCTGATGGTTTGAGGTGGAGCCAAGGCAGTGATGCTAGGAGCAGCTGCAAATACTGATTAACAGTAGCAGGGAGCTTTGACTGCACAGAGACCATAATAAACTCTTAAAGACTCATATCAAAACCCTGTATTACGGGACCAGAAGGTGGCATAATGGTTACATTGCTGGAGTCCCACATAGTTAATCAAAGTTCAAGTCCCGGACCTGGCGGCTTAAAACTCATGCCAGGCATGTGTGCATGTGTGCCTAAAATCCCAAGAGGAGAACGGAGCAGAAGGGATTGCAGTGTGGCCATCTATCCTGGGGGGCGGGGGGTGTTTCTTGCTTTCTTTCTGTTTCTCCAGTGAGCACATGGACCCTATAGCAAAAATCTCTCTTAAAAAAATAAATAAACCCTGTATTTCAATGTAATTACAATATATTACAAAAGCTTATATTACAATGTAATAATAATAAAAATAAAGTGCACAATAAATCTAATATACTTGAATCATCCTGAAACCAACCCCAGTCTCCAGTAAGTGACAAAATTGTCTTCCACAGAACTGGTTCCTGGTGCCAAAAAGTTTGAGGACTGCTGGTTTACAGTGTATTGTTTGGAGATATATATATACACCCTCTGATTACTATGATCAAACTAATTAAATTAACATACTCATCACCTCATGTTGTCACCTTTTTTTTTTTTAAAGTATTTATTTATTTTTTAGCCATAGGGTATGTGTGCTTGCCAGAGACAGATAGAAGAAAAGAGAAAAAATTCCAGGACTCAGTCTGTGGTCGACCATCTGGGAATACAGCTGCCTTAGCCTCCATGCCACCTGCTGGCCCCTGTGGTCCCCCTTTTTTCTTTTGTGGTAAGAACACATGAGATCTACTCTCAGTCAATTTCTAGTACACAATACATTGTTCTTAACCATACTCATCCTGCTGCACATTCGATTCCCCAAACGAATCCACGTATAACGGAGTGTGTACCTGCACCGGGAAAAGGTTAAAAATAGGCCTCTGATCTCTTTTCTGATCTTACTTGCTATGAGTTTAGAAAAAAAAGGCAATTCTATGATTTGCCTTGCATAAGTTCAGCCTGTTTGGGAGAGGATAAATGTTGCCATTAGTTCCCAAATGCTCTGGGTTCTGTCTATGCAACTTCACCCCTCAAAAGTTTCCCACCTGCCAGGACCAGTCCCTGCTGGACAGTGATCTGGCCTGGCTTTCTGCTGGAGCCTCCTGTGCTCATTGTCCCTCCCCAGGGTCTGTTGTCTCCCCTAACTTATCAGTTTTGAATTACAGTCCCATAGGGATTTTTTTAATCACTAAAATAATTCATCCATATTAGTTTAAGCACTTGTTTTGTTTTGTTTTGTTTTTGTTTTTGAGAGGTTCCTGCTGTAGGGCACATGCGCGCGCCAGAAAGACAGAGAGAGAGAGAGAGACAGAAAGTGAGAAATCACCCCCCAGAGGGGATGGCCAAGCTGCAATCCCTTCTCCTCTCAGGATCTTGGGCACGCACGCACATGCACTCGGTGTGAGTTTAAGCCACCAGGATTTGAACTGCGGTCAACTACATGGGAGTCCAACGACATAGCCGTTATGCCAACTGTTGTGGTTTGTTTGACTGAAATAAGCACATTTTCCACTCCAACTAAACTCCAGCACAGACACCTAATAGCAATAATAGACAAAAGGCACCGCTGTTGAGTGAGCCCTTATGAAGGGGGAAACCTTCATAAGGGAGAATTTATGTCCCAGCAACTGGCTTTGAATTAGTGGCATCCACAAGCTCTTATTACATCCGGGCTATTGATCCTATATGAAACTGGCCTTCCTAGGAATGAAATCTATGACCAGAAGCATCTCCCTTCATTTCCATTGTCTATAAAATCTTCTTTTGATAGAAGCTACTGAACTGGTTCATTCCTTAGCCAAGAAAACTTTTACTCCTTTGAGATCATTTTCCCTATTTACTCACTAACATCCAAATAGCTTGATGTGTGTGTGTGTGTGTGTGTGTGGTGAGAACCTTCCAGTTCTATTTCTGCAGTTACTATACCTCATGCTGCAGATGTTCAGACAGCTCCCTACAGACCAACCACTCACATGATTTACGAAGTGAGCAGGTTATTGACAAGGTCCTTTGAAATCGTCCCTGGTTGGTAAGGCACCAGCGTGAGATGGTTTCAAAGTCTTAGTATCCCACTTCCACTATGCTTCTGAAGGTTTTTTAAAGGCAGATGGAATCTAGGAATCCAAGGAAGAATTTACGTCCCAGCAACTGGCTTCGAGTTAGTGACATCCACAAGCTCTTATGACCATCTTTCTGTGTTTTTG